CACGGTGGTTCATGCTTGTAATCCCAGCACTTTGGGAGGCCAAAGTGGGCAGATTGCTTGAGCCCAGGAGTTTAAGACCAGCTTAGGCAACATAGTGAGACCTGTCTCTACAAAAAATACAAAAATTAGCTGGGTGGGCGAGGGGGGTGCATGCCTGTGGGCCCAACTACTAGAGAGGCTGAGGTGGGAGGATCACCTAAGCCTGGGAAGTTGAGACTGCAGTGAACCAAGATCACGCCACTGCACTCCAGCCTGGGTGACAACAAGATCCTGTCAAAAAAAAAGAAAGAAAGAAGGTGAAGAAAAATAAAGTCAGCAAATGAAACTACATATGAATGTTGTTAGAAGACCAAATATACAACGAAATATAATACTGTGGGCCAGGCATGATGGCTCACGCCTGTAATCCCAGCACTTTGGGAGTCGCAGGCGGGCAAACATGAGGTGAGGAGTTCGAGACCAGCCTGACCAACATGGAGAAACCCCATCTCTACTAAAAATACAAAATTAGCTGGGTGTGGTTGTGCATGCCTGTAGTCCCAGCTACTCTGGAGGCTGAGGCAGGAGAATCACTTGAACCTGGGAGGCAGAGGTTTCGGTGAGCTGAGATCACACGATTGCACTTCAGCCTGGGCAACAAGAGAGAAACTCCCTGTCGAAAAAGAGAAATATTCATCATACCCCAACCCTTTTGTCTCAGTGATGCAACTGAGGCCCAGAGAGAGGATGGAATTTGCCCAAAGTCACACAGCAAGTCTACAATTGAGGAAGGCCAAGAACCATGGCTCTTATTCCTTCTGCTGGGCTTGGTTGGCCTGAACCTATAACTCCATCCCTCCTCCTCTCACACTTACTCCCCACCCAGAGCCCCTGTGCTGAGATATGAATACTGATAAATTAATTGGATTTTTGTATGTGGCTGGTGGAGTTAGTCTCTATATGGCAACACCTTATTCATTCATTCAATTGACAGTTTTGTTTGTTTGTTTTTGTTTGTTTTGAGACGGAGTTTCGCTCTTGTTACCCAGGCTGGAGTACAATGGCGTGATCTCGGCTCACTGCAACCTCCGCCTCCTGGGTTCAGGCAATTCTCCTGCCTCAGCCTCCTGAGTAGCTGGGATTACAGGCACGCGCCACCATGCCCAGCTAATTTTTCTTTTTTTTAATTTTTAGTAGAGACGGAGTTTCACCATGTTGACCAGGATGGTCTCGATCTCTTGACCTCGTGATCCACCCGCCTCGGCCTCCCAAAGAGCTGGGATTACAGGCTTGAGCCACCGTGCCCGGCCCATTCAATTGACAGTTAAATCAACTGCTTTCTAGATAACCTATGAGGCCTGCCCATCCGGCCCCGGCCTCCCTATTTGGCTTCATGCCCTTTCTCTGCTCTCCTGCCCAGTGCACACCTCCTGCACTCTGCTTACACTGTCTTTCCTACGAGACTTCTCTGCCTCCCCCAGGTCTGGCCCAAGTGCCCCTCCTCCCTGTACCCCATCACCGCCTGTATCACACTTACCCGTTGCCCTCAGTGGCCTAAGTACCATTCAGGCAAGATTCCTCTTGTTCACCACTCACTGCCAGTGCCCAGAGTAGGCCTGACCCATAACAGGTGCCCCTTGAATCAGTGATTGCATCTGCCATTTCTGGAACACTTCCCTGTGCTCTCATAGTCCAGGGCCTCTGCAGAGGGTGTTCCTCCAACACCCTGTCAGTTCTAGCCTTTTAAACTGTCCAGACCCATGTCAAATATCCACAACCAATCAATAGTACTGTGAAGCCGCCTTTCTCAACTGAGAAAAGGAGGAGTTCGAGACCAGCCTGACCTCCCCACTCATGGTCAATCCCTCCTCCTTTTATCCCATCCTCTCTGCCACCCCATGCCACTTAGGACACTACTGTCCTTGTGAGCAGTGACTTGTATTTTTTATCCTGGTCCCCTGGCACCTACACAGTGTGAAATACTAGTTTAGCTGCTTAGCATTCAGCAGTGAAGCATGTTAGAAAATGACAAGTGTAGGCTGGGCAAGGTGGCTCACGCCTGTAATCCCAGCATTTTAGAAGGCTGAGGTGAGGCGGGTGGATCACCTGAGGTCAGGAGTTAAGACCATCCTGGCCAACATGGTAAAACCCCGTCTCTACTAAAAATACAAAAGTTAGCCAGGTGTGGTGGCGGGCACCTGTAATCCCAGCTACTTGGGAGCCTGAGGCGGAGAATCGCTTGAACCCGGGAGTTGGAGGTTGCAGTGAGCTGAGATCAAGCCACTGCACTGGGCAACAGAGCGAGAATCTGCCTCAAAAAAAAAAAAAAAAGAAAAGAAAAGAAAGTGACAAGTGTTGGCCAGGCATGGTGGCTCACACCTGTCATCCCAGCACTTTGGGAGGCTGAGGCAGGTGGATTGCCTGAGATCAGGAGTTCAAGACCAGCCTGACCAGCATGGAGAAATCCCGTTTCTAATAAAAATACAAAATTAGCTGGGCATGGTGACACATGCCTGTAATCCCAGCTACTCGGGAGGCTGAGGCAGGAGACTCTCTTGAGTCCGGGAGGTAGGGGTTTCGGTGAGCCAGGATCGTGCCATTGCACTCCAGCCTGGGCAACAAGAGTGAAACTCTGTCTCAAATCAAAACAAAAGAATACAAAAGATTGGCCTTCTTGCTGTGGATTTCCTCCACAGCAAGGATGGTGGCTCATGCTTGTAGTCCCAGCACTTTGGGAGACCTAGGCGGGCCGATCAGGAGTTTGCAACGAGCCTGTCCAATATGGTGAAACGCTGTTTCTACTAAAAAATACAAAAATTAGCTGGGTATGGTGGCCCATGCCTGTAGTCCCAGCTACTTGGGAGGCTGAGGCGGGAGAATGGCTTGAACCTGGGAGGCAGAGGTTGCACGCAGTGAGCTGAGGTCGCACCACTGCACTCCAGCCTGGACAACAGAGTAAGACTCCATTTAAAAAAAAATTAGCTGGGCATGGTGGTGCGGGCCTGTAGTCCCAGCTCCTCGGGAGGCTGAGGCAAGAATTGCTTGAACCCACAGGGCAGAGGTTGCAATGAGCCACTGCCCTCCAGGCTGGGCGACAGAGTAAGACTCTGTCTAAAAAAAAAAAAAAAGGAAAAAGAAAGTGACAGTGTTGAATATAAGAATAGAGAGCAGGGAAGGGGGTAGGAAGAGTGGGAGGTAGGGTTGTGGGAAAGCCTTTACAGTATCCAGTACGAGGGAACAGACCTCTAGACTTGCACTGGCGGACAAAGATCTTGAGGCTGGAGGGAGGAGGCTGCCTGTGATCAAGTTACAGCAAGGAGGATGGTGTGGCTGGAGAGGTGGTGAGCACAGGGGGTGGTGTCGAAGGGCAGGTCAGAGAGGTAAAACAAACCTACAGATCAGATAGGCCTTGTGGGTCACAGTAAGGACTTTGACTTTTGCTCCGATGTAGGAGCCGCTGGTGGGTTTCCAGCAGAGAAGTGGTGTGATCTCATTTTAACAGGATCACTCTGCCTGCTGTATGGAGGACACACTAAAGGAGGACTAGGACAGAAAGAGATCAGTGAGGAGGCTACTGCAGCAATCCAGATGAGCCGTGACAGTGCTTGGACCAAGGCCACAGTGGGAAAGTGGAGGGTGAAAGTGCTGAACATGAAGAGTAGATGACTCTACATTTTTTTTGTTGTTTTAAATAGAGATGGAGGGCTCACTATGCTGGCCAGATTGGTCTTAAACTCCTGTCCTCTAGCGATCCTCCCACCTCAGTCTGTCAAAGTGCTGGGATTACAGGCATGAGCCACCATGCTCAGCCTCTACATTTTTGACCTGGGCAACAAGAAGGATGGAGCTGCTAGAAACTGAGATGAGGAAGACTATGGGAGGAGATAGATTGATAAGAAAGATCGGGATACATTTGTCTGCTAGACAGCTAATGGAACTGGGGCATAGATGGCTGGATACACAAGTCCAGGGTTTAGGAAAGTATACAATGATCTCTAGGCTGAAACTATACATTTAGGCATCATTAGTACAAAAATGCCCTTTTTTATTTTCCTTGCGGCGGAGTCTCGGTCTGCCACCAGGCTGGAGTGCAGTTGCACCACCTCGGCTTACTGCAACCTCTGCCTCCCGGGTTCAGGCAATTCTCCTGCCTCAGCCTCCCGAGTAGCAGGCACGTGCCACCACGTCCAGCTAATTTTTTGTATTTTAGTAGAGGCGGTGTTTCACCGTGTTGGCCAGGATGGTCTCGATCTCCTGAGATTGTGATCCACCCACCTCGGCCTCCTTTCCGCTTTAAAGTCTTGAGGACCAGATGAGATCACCAAAGTAAGCAAGTGTTTCAAGGAAGGGGGAGTGATCCACGAAGTCAAATGCTGCTGATAGGCCACGTGAAGATGAGGCGTGCAATGAATGAATAAACGCCAGGCCTGTGAGATCTGCAAAGTACCAGTGATTATTGAGGGTTACCTGACAACAGATAGGCAGAGACAAGATGACTCTAAGTCACAGGAACACTTAGAGACACAGGGAATCCTAGAGTTGGAAAGGACCTTAACAAGGTCATTGAATCGGTACTCTTTTCCCCATCCTAGGCTGATAGTTGAACCCCTGCCTGTAGAACAAGAAATATTTGCGGGATACTGAGGCAGGCAGTCTGGCTAGATAGGTTGAAAAAGGTACCGTTGAAGAATGAGAGAAAGAGTAGTTCAGTAAATGCTGGACAGCAGAGGCAGGGTATGGGGGTGGAGATGACCTTCCGAAGTCAAAAAACCAGATGCAGTCAGGCCCTAGCCTCCTGTCCTTGGGCAAAGGACACTTCATCTCCAGCCTCAGTTTCCCCATGCGGCGACGTCTGAATGTGGTAGTGCTGAATATGGTAGACAGTAAGTTCCCTGCCTGGGTTGGTTACTGCAAGAGCAAGGGAAGGAGCCCAAAAGAAGCCCTTGTTTTGGGACAGCTGTGGAAATGGGAATGAGGAGGAACTATGATCTCCGCGGGTCGGTTAGGGTAGCCAGAGTGTGGACAAGCGAACCAGGATCCAGGCCAGGACCTGGGCTCGGGTGGCAAGGGGCCATCCGCAAAGACCGTAGCCCTGAATCTGCCTCCCCTGAACCTGGAACGGAGATGGCGGACACACCGAGGCAGCAATAGGGCGAAGAAATAGAGACGCCGAGGCAGAGAGACCAGGAGACTCAGAGACAGGGAGACTAAGATACAGACTCAGCAACAGGCGGCCTCACGGGGGCCCCGCGGCGACCCGGAGAGGGCGAGGCCCCGGGACACAGACCCCGGCCGAGCAGAGCCCCCGCGCGGCGCAGAGTCGTGGCGCGCGGGCGCAGGGTCCCCGGCGGGGCCCGAGTGGCCGCACTCGCCGGGGCCCCCGTTCGGGGCAGCTCGCTCAAGATGGCGTTGGAGGGGCGGGCGAGGCGGCAGCGGCCCCGGCCCCCGCGCCGGCCCCAACTCGGGCCTGGGCCCCCGAGGCCGCGCCCCCGCCCGCGGCGCCGCGCCTCCCCAGGCCACTGACGCCCGGCGAGCCCTCCCCCGGCAGCAGCGGCCGAGGCGCGGGGAGGCGGCGGCGGCGGCGGCGGCGGCGGCGGCCCGAACCCAGCCCCATGGCGTGGGGAGACGCCGGCCGCGGCCCCGAGCTCCTCGCGCTGACCTTCTGCCTGCTAGCCGTGCGCGGTAAGGGCCGGCGCCGGGAGAGGCGGGAACGGCTGCTGCGAGCGGGTGCGCCCGCGCCTTGGGCTGCGTCGGGCTGCGGAGCTGGCCGCCCGGGTCCGGAGCTAGTGAGGGGACTCGGTGCACTCGGTGCCTGCGCGGGGGTCTGCGATCTGCGGCCGGGCGGGGGGGGGGGGGGCGGGGGCGTTTGCGGCGCGTGCTTGTCCGCAGTGGGTGTCTTTGGTTCGCAGAATCTGAGTCGTGTGTGAGGGGTGTGTGTGTGTGTGTGTGTGTGTGTTGGGACTGCTCCTGCCGTGTCCGCAGTGCGTGCCACGGTCGCGGCGTGGCATCAGCGGGGCGGGTGGCTGCGGTGTCGGTGGCTTTCGCCGGGCGGGCTCAGCCTTGCCTGCGCGTGTCTCGGGTTAAGAGTGTGTGTGAAGGAGGAGGGGATTGGGGTTCTGGGTCTGCACCTCCATTTGGGTCGGGTGCTTGTGCAATTGTGTTTATGGGGCTGAGCTAATATTTGGCCTTGGCATTTGGGAAGCGTCCTTGCCCGTAGTAGGGGACGGAGCGATAGATTCCGATTGACTTGTAGGGGGAGGTGATAAAACAACACTCAACTTTGCCCAGTGGGTGTGGTCCCTGGGGCCGGCAGGAGAGGGGTAGGGGGAGATGTTGCTCCCTAAAACCTGTGGCCCACAGTGGACTGGGGGAAGGGGCAGGAAACCATTTGCTTTCGTGGACATGTCCAGCGCTCGTTCTCAGGATGGGACGCGTGTCACCTCGGCCCCACCCCCAGAGGCCAACCAGGGAAGCGTGGACGAGGTCAGCAGGGCCTCATCCAGTCTCCAGCCCGGTGTGGAGTGGGTACCGGCTAAGTCAGAGTTGTCCAAGCTGGAGAAAGGGCTGAGGAGGGGATAACGGAGTCCCCTAGGGTGTGTGTCTAGCGCTCCCTCTTCCACCCACAGCTCAGTCGCTTCCTGTCCGGTGTGCGTTTGGGGGCAGCCCAAGGGGAGTGTAGGTGGCAGGGCTGGGAGGGGGATGGGCTGGCCGCTTTGTTCGCCTAGTTCTCGCCTTCCCCGCGGAGGGGGGAGCTGAGGATGTGTCCGGGGAGAGTCGGGAGGGACTTGGAGTTGGGGGTGGGGAGGGGTATTTCTCTCCAGCTGCTGCGGCTTTCCAGAGACTCAGCCAGGCCACGTGGGAGGGAGGCGGGGGAAAGGAGCCTCCGCCTGGCCAGCCCCAGGCCCATCTCCAGGAAAACCAAACAGCGGGTGGGAAAGTGCCGGGAACTACTCGGACCCCTTCTGTTTCTACAAAGACACGCCCCTCGGCGGTTGGGGCTGGGTCTCGGCTGCAGGGCCAGGGGAGCTGGGGGCCCGGGCTTGTCAGGTGAAAGGGGCGGGGAAGTGTCAGAGAGGCGTCGGTCCTCCCGGAGCTCAGAGGACTAAGGCATAGTTCTGCCCCACCTTCCGCTCTGCCTAGGGCTCCTGGAACGAGCTAGGGGTTACCCAGCAAAGCGGCTTCAGGGCTGGGAACCGCAGCGGCGCATTATCCAATAGCTTTGGGGCCTCCCGCGAGGGGCTCAGCTTCCCTGGCCTCTCCCTGCTCCCGAGCGCACAAAGTAGGCGAGGGCCAGAGTTGCTGCGTCTCTGGGCTCCAGTGTGAGTCGCTATAACAGCTTGCCCTGGTCCTCCAAAGCTCGGCGGGCCTGGAGACACTCCAGTTGAATATCTAGCCACCCTGATCTCTACCGAGGTCATTTATTAATTCAACAAATATTTATGGAGCACCTTTTTTTTTTTTTTTTTGAGACGGAGTTTCGCTGTTGTTACTCAGACTGGAGTACAATGGCACGATCTCGGCTCACCGCAACCTCCACCGTATGGGTTCAAGCAGTTCTCCTGCCTCAGCCTCCTGAGTAGCTGGGATTACAGGCGCGCACCACCATGCCCAGCTAATTTTTGTATTTTTAGTAGAGACGGGGTTTCACCTCGTTGACCAGGATGGTCTCTATCTCTTGACCTCGTGATCCACCCGCCTTGGCCTCCCAAAGTGCTAGGATTATAGGCGTGAGCCACCGCGCCCGGCCATATGGAGCACGTTTTATAGGCTAGCTTGTGCCTGGTGCCTAGACTATAGTAAATAAGGAGGCAGGCCTGGTCCCTGGTGCAAAGCTTTCAGTCCCATCGAGGGAGAAACTGACAAGTCCCAACAGTGCCGGGGTAGACCCAGCGAGCAGGGGCTCCTACGCTGGTCTGGGAAGGTCAGCAAAGCTTCCTGAAGAAAATGATGAGTAGTAGAGCTCAATATGGAGTTAGCGGTGTAGAAGGAGGAGGATGATGCGGAAAGTTTTCCAGAGAACAGCGTGTGCAAACGTTCAGAGGTGATTTCGTTTAGATCATTGGATTAAACTAAATCTAGCTGGAGTTTAGTGTATGAGGGGTGGGTGTGCGGCAGGGGGGGAAAGATGGAAAGGGGTCAGGGAGTATCAAGAGAAGAGGCTGAAGAGAGGAACTAGATTTATCTCACAAAGGACCAAGATTTCTGGCCTGAGAGCCCCCATGAGCCCTTGACAGGATTTAAGATCAGCTTTGCATCACCTCATTCAGGCCAGTGTGGAGGATGGATTGGGTGAGTCCGGAAGCAGGAAGCTCCAGCTCCTTGGAGGCTGTCGTAGCAATTCAGAAGAGGATGGTGGCAACCAGCATTGTGGCAGTTGGGGTTGGGGTGGCTGGAGTGGCTGGATTCCAGAGATTTTCAGGAAATAGAATCAGTAGGACATGAGGAGAGATTGAATTTGTAGGGGGCGAGAGAGGAAAGTAAGAAATAGGTCGGTCTCGGTGGTTCACACCTGTAATCCCAGAACTTTGGGAGGCCGAGGCAGGAGGATCACATGAGGTCAGAAGTTCAACACCAGCCTGGTCAACATGGTGAAAGCCCATCTTTACTAAAAATACAAAAATTATGGTGGCTCACGCCTATAATCCCAGCACTTTGGGAGGCCGAGGCGGGTGGATCACGAGGTCAAGAGATCGAGACCATCCTGGTCAACATGGTGAAACCCCCGTCTCTACTAAAAATACAAAAAAAAAAAAAAAAAATAGCTGGGCACGGTGGCGCGTGCCTGTAATCCCAGCTACTCGGGAAGCTGAGGCAGGAGAATTGCCCGAACCCAGGAGGCGGAGGTTAAGGCGAGCCGAGATCGCGCCATTGCACTCCAGCCTGGGTAACGAGCGAAACTCCGTCTCGAAAAAGAGAAAGAAAGGAAGAAAGGAGAGAAAAAAGAAAGTCCTCAGTATCTCAACATGGGGCAGAATGAAGGGTTAGTATTGGGGTGAGTATGATGCTGGAGCCTGCCTATCTCCTCCCAGGAGTGCTCTCGAGTCAGGGACTGGGACCCCCGTGTGAGGGAGTGGCGAGGACCCAAGCTCTGTTCTTACCACATGCACAAAGGTGGGCTCTCTCGGCTCTCCCTTCTTCCCAAGCCGGAATTCGGAGGGTGGGGAACCTAAAGGTCAGTAATAGGAGGCCTCTAAGAACTCGAGAGCTTTCTCCTCACCCGGGAACTCCCCCCCTCCCCTGTCTCCTTCTTAGCCTAGAGGCTCAGAGGCCAGTCTCAGTCATCCCGAGTGGGCCTCTCTCCCCATCTCGGCGGGTTCGGAACCAGGTCAAACCGTGGGAGTTTCTTTTAATAATGAATCTTATCCAGAAGGTATCTAAACCTTCATTGATCCTCTAGGTGCTTTCATGGCTCAATTAAACTCACATTTACATGTAAATTAGCATTTCTTTTCTCCTCAAGCTATCTCTTTCAACTTAAGCGACTCACAATTAGCGCATCATTGAATGTCAGCATTGTTGAAAGGAACTTAGAAATAATTTCAGGCCAGGTGCCATTTGTGGCTCACACCTGTTACCTCAGTTTGTGTGGCTGAGGCAGGAGGATCACTTGAGCCAAGCTTGAGACCAGACTGGGAACATATTGAGACCTCGTCTCTATAAAAAAAAAAAACTGAAAAAAAAAAAAAAAAAAAAGTGTGGCAGGCCAGGCGTGGGGGCTCATGCCTGTAATCCCAGCACTTTGGGAGACTGAGGCATGTAGATCACGAGGTCAAGAGTTCTAGACTAACCAGCTCAACATGGTGAAACCCCACCTCTACTAAAAATACAAAAATTAGCCGGGCATGGTGGTGGGCGCCTGTAATCCCAGCTACTCGGGAAGCCAAGGCAGGATAATCGCTTGAACCCAGGAGGCAGAGGTTGCAGTAAGCTGATTGTGCCACTGCACTCCAGCCTGGGTAACAGAGCAAGACTCCGTCTCAAAAAAAAAAAAAAAAAAATAGCATGGCAAGCCTGGTGGAGTACACTGTTGTCCTTGCTGCTCAGGAGGCCGAAGTGGGAAGACTGCTTGAGCCCAGGAGTTCAAGACTGTAATAAGCTATGATTGCTCACACCACTGTTCTCTGCCCCGGGCAACAGAGTGAGGCTCCGTCTCAAAAGAAGAAGACAGAGAAAAGAAGAAATAAGTTTAGCATGAGCCTGTTTTACAGTTGAGAAAACGGAGTGAATTCCCAAAGTTACATAATTAGGGACCAAAATGGGGCCACACTTTCCAGGGATTTGGTACACAGATACCCGATTTCACTTTCTCTGTACTCCTCTCTACCATATGAGACATTATCAGCTTTGGGGTCTCCCCCTCAAGTAAGGCTCTCTGGGCTCTGGAATCCATCCTCCTCCACTTACCCCCCACCCCACCTCTTTCTATTCCCTCCCATGATACAGCAACCAGACTGTACAAAAAATTCCAGATGCAGAACAGATGTCATTCCCAGGCAGGCCTGGGGGCTCCCAGCTCCCAGAGCGGGAAGGGGAGGAGTAAGCTTGGCTCTGAGAGAGAGGACCCCAGCCTAGTCAGAGGTGGGTGACAGGAGCTAGGGGGGCCAGGGAAGGAAAACCGGAGAGTATCTTCTGGGGCCTGACATGGAGAGAAATCAAATTCTGTTACCTGTGTCAACTGGGCT